CTGAAGCTTCACAATGGTAGTGAAATAGATTGAGCTTTAAAAATGGGAAGGAATTTCAAGAGAAAAGTGCATTATAGAAGGAAGGAACAACATGTACAAAGGCTCAAAGGTGTGACATTGCATGAGTGATTTGATCTGGAAAGAAAAAATAATCAACATGATTAAGCTAAAGGCATAGAGAAAGAAGAGACAAGAAATAAAGCTGGGAAGGTGAGCTTATAGTTGATGGACTAATAACTTTTAGGCTGAAAGGAATAGGGAATTTTGAACTACTGAGGCATGGCAATATGGTCAGTTGAATGATATATGCTGATAACTAAATGATATCCAAGTAAATGCTTTGGCTGTAGAACTCACCAGAGACAATTCTAAACTGGAGATTCAGCTTTGGGAATCACCACATTTATATGATTTCCAAAAACACAGACTTGGAGAAGAAATAAATAAATACATAAGGCTAGGAAATGAAATCCTAAGGAGCATGCACCTCTAGAATGGGCAAGGAAAGCTGATAAACAATGACCATTAAAACAAGAAAAAGGAAGGAATAATTCTTTACTGGGTTACAGAGACCACCTCATAACTTGTCTTCCTGATTCCTATCTCAGGACACTCAATTGTCCATAAAATCTTCCAAAGACAGATGTGTGTCCCGTCTCTCACTGAAATCTTCCAGCAACTCATGACTTCACACATGAAAACTCTATATGAGTCAACTTTCCAGATATAACTCATGTTTATATGTCCAGCCCCAATTGCTATCTGAAGTTCATGGAAGGTCACATTTTCCTTACATGGCCCCAATGCCTGCTTCTTCTCTCCAAAAAGACCTTCCATCTCCCCTTCCCCAATGCCAGTGTCTGCTAGAATCCAACTTTCTTTTAAAATTTTGCTTGGCTATCTATCCTCTATAGTCCTGCACCCAAGATTTGTGCCTTCTCTACTCACGCCGCTTCTCTGTACTCCTACCTACCATAACACTTTCACACTGCTTTATAGCTGCTCGCTTATTTGTCTGCTCTCCTTCACACTGAAATCTTCTAAGATAACACCGTTTGCTATTATTTTTAATCTGCTGAGCATACAACTATGCCTGTCTTACCACACATCAAACATTTAGTGAAAGAATGAATTAAAAACAATAAAGAACACATTACGAGCAATCCTGCTTATCTTCACTCTAAATCTTTTACCTTACTTTGCAATATTTTGGGATGTAGATTGACAGTCTTATCAAATAGTTGTGGTTGCAATTATCCTTAACTATCAACATTTTCTCATAGACCTCAAATTAAAACTGTCAGATTTTTTTTCCTACATGGATTATTTTCTCACCTTATGGTCTTTAAGGAAGTTGCTGTTTCTACTAATTAAAAAGCTTGCAAAATACCTACTTACATTTGCATTAAATTTATTTGCCTTGAATACAAAACTTACAAGTGCTACATTTAGAAATATGCTCTGATGGTCTAGTTCAATGTTCTCTTGTTAAAATCTGGAGGGCTGAGGAAAAGTCTTCACATTCATAGACTGTGCAAGCTCACAGAGGATGGGCAATAAATCTGAAGTAATCTTCCACCGGAGTCCCAACAATTCTGATGCCTGTTAGGCTCCTGACCTCCCCTCTCTGCTTCTCTCTCTCTTTTTTTATGATTTATTTATTTTTGCACACAAGAGCTGGGGTACAGGCCAGAGGTGTAGGGAGTGAGAGGATTCACCAGAGACAGAGTGGGGACCTGAACAGGCGGAATGACTCAAATACACTGCTGAGGGGGAGCAGCGGGCGAATCAGGAGAGGTCTGCTGCGCTATGTGGGTTGCTTCCCGGCCACCTAGGGATCGAACTGGTGCTGCAGAGGATGCAGATAGCTTCATAGGTTGTGTCTTAACCTCTTGCACCACCAGGGAGGTCCCCTCTCTCTGGTTCTAACTCTGAGTGGACTCTAAGAGACTCAATGGACTCAGAGAACATAGACACAAACTATCAGGACCCCACATCCTGCCTGCCTGTTATGCTTTAAACCCACCACTATGAGATTCTCTTCAGTGCTGCTTTAGAATCCCATGTGCTGCTCATGCTCACTCACACACTCAGAAAGTCAGAAAGTTTAAAGTTCTGCAGAATGAAGATAGAATCAATTGGAAAAAGAGTATGGGTAGTAGATAAACCATGTCCCCACTTTTTTCTTCCAGAGAATGATTCTGAGCTGTGTAGTATTTGAATACCAAGCAGTCAGTTTACTAAAAGTGGCTATTTCTGGAACTCATCCCTATATGTCTCTCTATGCCTCAGTCTACTTACCCCTTATTCTTCCTCCTGGTTTAGAGGGTTGGAATAAAGTAAAAGTGCATAAACACTATACCTCAAGATATGCTTTCTGGGAAGTTCTAGCTAAAATATCTTGTCTATGAAATGCGTCTGCATATGTCTACTCTCTGAGTTAATCTTGAAATTGGTAAAATGATAAGTCTCAACATAAACTTCTAATACAAGATCCTTTCTTCTCTAGGCTGACATGCCAACATCTGCATTTGCTAATTCCATAACGGCTCAATAGAAGTAGACTAATTTTGCACCTCATTCTCATTAGCATTTAACTTTATTTAATGTGAAATTGTTTTTTAAAGGTTTATTTATTTATTTATACAAGCACTGGGAACAGTCAGAAGCGCGGGAGGGTGAGAGAATTCACCAGAGCCAGAGCAGAGAGCAGAACAGGCAGACTGATGAAATACACTGGGGGAGCAGCGGGCATGGCAGGAGAGGTCTGAGCGCCATGTGGGACCCTCACTGGTGGCCGGGGGATCGAACTGGCACTGCAGAGGCTGCAGGTAGCTTCGCAACCCAGTGCTCAACCACTTCACCACCGGGGAGGCCCTAATGTGAAAATGTTAAGGAGCTGACTGTAACCGTTTTTATTATGCATTTGATGGGGTCTCTAGAAATGATTCCTATCTCTAAGATCCTGCATAATAAAAAATTAAAATCCATATAAATGAAGTTCTATTTGACATTTATATTGTTACTCCTGCTACTGTTGTTTTTATTGGGTTTTGTAGCACTACTAGATTACAACATTGAATCAAGAGTGCTTCCCCTACTCTTACTGAGTTCACACTACAAAGCAGGAAGGATAGCATATATAGCTCCATAAGTCAGATAGATACCCTATAACAAGGACTGGAAAGGGAGTCTAACGGAGCAGAGACAATTTAGGACTTCATCAGGCAGAGTGATGCAAAAAACTAGAGAGATTTCAAAGACAGTTTTAAGCTAGATTACCCTGCAATCACACAAAAAATTTATAGTTAAAGTGTATTTAGCAATGACCCACATAATGTAAACGTCAACTAAATTGTTGACATTAGCCTTAACTCCCAAGAAGCCCAACACAGCAGAGATAAGATGTCTGAGACAGTTTCTTACTTATCTCTGCAACCTTCCAAAAACCTGGTCTTCCACACACTAACAGCACATGAACTGTTTATTGGATGAATTAATGCATAAATGGATGGCGATGGAAGCCTACACAGTAACTTCTCTCCTAATGTCCTTTGCTCATGGAAACTTGTAGCTCCACACACAGGCTTCTAGCTACTAGCACTACAGCTAGTCTCTTGGGATGATCACAGCCCACAGTCTTAGTTCCATAGGTTAGAAGGATATCAGCTGTGCATAGTGCCATGCAAAAAGAGAAAACAAAAACTTTCCATCCTACTTGGTAAGATTCAAGGGAGACATTAAATAAATGTTAGACACTCTGTTTGGAGGTTTTGTTTTGATTTTGCCTCTCTAAGGAAAAACCGGTATTTGAAAATTAGAACAATATTGCAGTGATTTCAAAAATGAGGATGGAAAGATTATTTGAATAATGTATAACACAACTCAACTTTAATCCTTAACATATTAAATGTCTTTAATTTGGAAGATTTTCAGTATTTTTCCAATTACTTCTTTGCCATTTCCTAGTTTTCTTTCTATGTAGAAATTTGGAAAAATATAAGCAAGATAATTATTTTGTTTTCCTTACTCACAATATGCTTATAATTTGGGGCCTATATAGTGTTCCTGATAAAACCATTTCTTCTGTTCTGTTAACTTTATAATCCTCCTAGGCATAGCCTAGTTATGGATAGTCTGAATATTTGTAGTATTATCATTGGGAATATAATAACCTGGTGATATTATGTGACACTTTCCTAACACTAAAGAATCAATGTGTTTAAGAATACTCATCTTAAACAAAATGTCAAACCATGACAAAAAGCTCATATATTACCCTAGGTTATTATTATTTTGTTCCCAATAATAGTTTATGTTCTTGTTATCATGGACTTTCACTTGGGGTTAAAAGCCCAAACCATTTGACTTGCTTCAGCCATTAACCTGTGAGAAGTGATGTGTAGCATTTCTGGGCAGAAGTATCAGGTAGTTCATTATGTGTCTTATGTTTTGCCATGACAATTGACAGATAAAGAATGCTTTGTCAACTTGTGTCCCAGAGAGAAGACTATTCAAGGCAGAACAGAAATGAAATTTTGATTAAATAAGTTCAAGAAATAAGCCTTTATTTTTATACACCATTAATTGTTTTCACTTTTGTTCCTCTTTATGAAGGTATAATTGACAAATAAAATTGTTAGAGATTTAAAGTATATAATGCGATGATTCGATATGCATATACTAAGTCATTGAGCATTTGAAGACATTTGCTATTGTAGCATAATCTGGCCAATTTTGACATCTATAGCTTTCATCAAGGAATTGTCTAGGAAAGGCATGTGGTTGGCAGAGTGACTTTCAAAGATGTCTTTCTAAAAATGTTACCTAAACTTTAGAACCTGTGAATATGTTACCTCACACAGCAAAAAGGATTTTGAATATATAACAAAAGCTATGAATTTGAAGATAGCAAGGATTTCTGGATTACCAATTTAATCACAAGGACCTTAAAAACAAAAACACTTCTCTAGCTGCAAATAAACGAAGTGGAGCAGAAGGTGAAATCAGTGGGATAATGCAAAGCAGGAAGGACAGCACAGAAACTTTGTTGATTTGGGGGGACAGGGTGCCATGAAACTTGAAGTACAGCCAGCCTCAAGGAGCGGAGGGAGCTCCCAGCTGACAGCCAACAATGAAACGGAACCTCAGTTGCATGACCACAAGGAACTGAACTTGACCAACAGTCTGATGAGCTTGAAAGCTGATCTACCGCCAGAGCCTCTAGAAAAAAAAAATGACAGGAATCATGAAAATTTGATTTTGGCCTTCTGATATTCTAAGGAAAAAAACAAATGAGACACACTGCACCCATATTCTGACCCACAGAACTGTGAGATAATACATTTGTGGGGTTTTTAGAATTGAATTTGTGTTAATATGTTATGATGGCAGTAAGAAACAAATGCACCAGTTTTGCAGCTTAAGTAATATGTGTGACCTAATGAACACCATGTACCTGTACCTTCCCAGTGAGATTAAATGATTTAACTGAATTAGCCCTGATGGCCATGATAGGAAAAAATAAATGCTGACAACAAGATCTGGTCTCTCACTCTTAGATACCAGAACCATGGCAATGCAATTTATAAGTGTTTCATGACTTACAAAGGAAAACTGAGCCTATTTACTTCACCAAATTGTTGAATAAAACCTTAAGTAAATATTTATAATCCAGTTCCTGATAAGTGATGAATTATTAATCTGGTGATTCACTGTATAAATAATAAGTGACTGAAACTTGCCAATTTATAGGAACATTAGGTTTCTTATATTAAGATTGACCCAAGAGAAAGACAAACACTGGATACTTTTACTTTTATGTAGACTATAAGGAAACAAAGCAAATGACAGACAAAACCAAACCAAAACAAACCCTTGAAATCTAACCACAAAAATGAGGCTACCAGAAGGTAAGTAGGGTCAGACCAAAAGATGAATGGAGACCAGTGGACTGTTTTAGAAGATTATTGGTACTTTGGTGGTGGGCGTATGTCACAACATACATTTGAAGGTGTGAACCTATACCCTTAAGACATATACCATGCTATAAGCCATCATTATGTCAATAAAAATAATTAAATAAATAAAAAGTTTACCAATGTACCACATCCCTATTAAAGAAACTCTACCAAGATTTAAATTTATAATTTTATAAGGATTCACAGAGGTCAGTCCTTTTTTTTAATTTTGTTTTTTTTTTGTATTTTTTTTTAAAGATTTATTTATTTATTATTTATACAAGCACTGGGTACAGTCAGAAGCACAGGAGGGTGAGAGAATTAGCCAGAGCCAGAGCGGAAGCAGAGCAGGCAGAAGGACCGAAGTACACTGCTGAGGGGAGAAGCGGGCGGCAGGAGAGGTCTGCACGCCATGTGGGACACTCCTCTGGTGGCCGGGGAACAGCCGGGGATCGAACCTGCGCTGCAGAGGCTGCAGGCAGCTTCGCAACCCAGCGCTCAACCGCTGCACCACCGGGGAGGCCCAGTCCTTTTTTTAAAAAAAAGATTTATTTATTTATACATACAAAAGTTGGGGTACAGGCCAGAGGTGCAGGCAAGGGGTAGGGTTGAGAGGATTCACCAGAGACAGAGTGGGGAGCAGAACAGGCAGATCTACTGAAATGTACTGTTGAGGGGAGCAGCGGGGGAGACAGGAGAGGTCTACCGCACCATGTGAGTTAGCTTCCTGGCTGGCCAGGGATCCAATTTGTTCAGTGCTGCAGATAGCTTCTTAGTGCTGCGACTTAACCCCATGCACCACCAGAGAGGCCCGCGGTCAGTCCTTTCAAATTTATAATTTTTTTTGAACTATTTTTTTAAAGATTTATTTATTTGTTTGTTTATTTATTTATTTATTTATTTATTTATTTATTTATTTATTTATTTATTTATTTATTTATACAAGCACTGGGTACAGTCAGAAGCCCGGGAGGGTGAGAGAATTCACCAGAGCCAGAGCGGGGAGCAGAACATGCAGAAGGACTGAAGTACACTGCTGAGGGGAGCAGCGGGCAGCAGGAGAGGTCTGCGCGCCATGTGGGACCCTCCTCCGGTGGCTGGGGAGCAGCTGGGGATCGAACCGGCGCTGCAGAGGCTGCGGGCACTTCGCAACCTGGCGCTCAACCATGTGCCACCGGGGAGGCCCTTAAATTTATAATTTTAACCTCAAAAGCTTATAACCAAATTGAATTAGGAAACTATACTTAATCTGCTTCCACCTCATTTTGATATGTTGCTTCAGATATTAACTCATATATTATGTTTTTTTTTGGTTTATTGGTTTCGATGAATCCATGTCGGTTTTAGAGTCTCCAAGTCATTTTAGTCGCAGAAAAACGTTCCTATCTTCCCACTGAGTTGGTATCACCAAGATGATTCATGTCCAGAATGGTTTTAGGGTTAGATGTGTTTCTAGATTAGTAAAGAACAGCCCAGCCTGTGTTTCAAAAACAATGACATGAAGAGAGAGGTTACTAAGCCACTTAGCAGGAAGGTAGGAGGGCCTCTGATTTCCAGTATCCAAAAGATCCCAAGTCAAACTTCATGTGCTCAGGCAAAATTTTCACTATATCATGCTAACACGGCATTAAGGATATAATGTAGTGACAGCCAAAAGTAGGGCTGGGCCTAATAGAGGTGTTGAGAGATGTGAGACATTGTTGAAAACCAGGTTAGATGTTCAAGCTTCACATATGAGATGGGATAAAACCATGGCATTGAAAACTGAAAAAAGATTCAATGAAAAGGAAAGAAAAGCTCAATTTGAGGAGACGAAAGATACTGATCCCATGAGAATAGAAGTTTCACCTTGGAAAATATTGGGAAAAAAGATGGAAAACAGGGCAAATGGAGAATGTGGAGATATTTGGAAGAACTTTATTTTTGAAATGTTATAGAGGCACAATTTAGATTTTTCAGCTATAAAGTGACAGGTTGCTTGAGACATACTCATTTGTTGTCATAATTGGAGATGGATTGTGTGTGTGTGGGGAAATATTCTTGAAATCCAGTCAAATGGTTTGCTGAGTGGAGTGAATATGAATTATTGTAGCCCTGAATTTAGCAGGCGTCAGGGGAAATGACTAGGTTTTTTGAAATTTTTGACACAGTAAAAAATAAAAATAAAAGGAGAGATATGTCACAGGAATGCCACCATTGTGAGTGAAAATAGTTGGAAAAATGGTAATATCTTTAGATGAGACAAGAAAATTGTGAAATAGATATAATTTGGAAGAGATGGGGCAGATTCGCCTAAAGAGATGTCTCGAGGAAGAACTTTCTATTACCTTCCAATCTGGTACGAATGTGAAAGAGAATTTTTTTTTTTTAATAATAGAGAAGTAACTTTGGAGAAAAAGAATTGACTTTCTAAACAGCCTCCCTATATCAAGAGCATCTGATTACAAAATGTGCTTTGGTGATACCAGGCTACTCCCCAAGTCTGACAAGCAGAATATGGGAGCAAATTCAGCTTCAGTGCAGAAGAATCTGAGGGTTGCACAGCCAGACCTAAGTGTTAACTTATCCCTGATATGCCAGCTGACATTTATTATCTACATAGATATTTTTAAAATAAATAATGGTGTGTCACCATTTCATCATGAAAAACAATTCATACTTTTGCAGTACCCACTAATTAAGGGAACATGGTGAATAATTTTATGTATATTAATTTCATTAAGAAAAAAAATACCTAAAAGTGTAAAGGTCCAATGAATAGTTTGAGACATAAGAATGAATATTTTCTAAGGTGTGATGACTAGAATCATATATTTAAGTAGCCATGGAATTTGAAACTGTAAGAGTTAAGTGAAGAAGGAGCAAAGAGTGGTAGGGAGGCCTCAGGAAAAGGTTTCATTGAAATCTCCTCTATGAAACTGATACACAGAAGCATTCATAAGAGGGTAGTCTCATGCAAAAGCTAGTGTCATAATACTCTGCCAGGAAATAAAAAAAATCAATTGAAATGCAGTGAATGAACTCTGCAAAATTTCAATAAAATGACAAGGCTATTCCTATATGACATAAGTGAAGTGTGCTTTTTCACCAAACAGTTTTTCCCAACTATTTTAATGATTTGCTTAATCCTTAGGTAATAGAATTAGAAATTAACTGTACATATTACTAGTAGTCTTACTATCTTATCATAAACTTTCTGAGACCATAATAAATGTTCTTAGTGTTTCCCTAAAATCCTTTTTTTGCAGGAGTTATTTCTTACTGAGAAGAGCAGTAAAGAGAAAAGGGAGAGCACTAAAGAATGTAAAGATTATGGGCCTCCCTGTTGGCATGGGGGTTAAGTCTCAGCACTAACACACTATCCCTGCTGGGGTCTGATTTTGATCCTCTGCAAGGAATCTATCCCTCATGTGGCACAGCAGACCTCCCCTGTCTTGCTGGCTGCTCCCTTTAGCTGTGTATTTCAGTAAATCTGCCTGTTTTCCTTCCCACTCTGTCTCTGGCGAATCCTCTCACTTCCCCTCAAGCCCACCCCACACACCTCTGGCCTACACCCCAGTTCTTCTATACATAAATAAACTTTTAAAAATATATATAAAGATTGCAACTAGATTCTCAGAGATGCTCAGAAGACCACAAACTCATTCTAACCAATTCAGTATCACTTTAGCACTACTCTGCTTTTTGTACTTTGTGAAGGTTCTTCTTGGGTTTAGAGTCTGCCATAGAAGACATTTGCAGTGACTTTGCCCCATGTTAACAATCTATCAATTAACAACACTACCAAATATGCTAGTTCCACTGGCATTAAATAACTAAATAGACCTTAAGATACCTATAGTGTTGCTTTATCTAGAAGAACAATTAAAAGATCATTTCTGAAACAAAATTATCTGTTGAAAATACCTTCATACTGAGAATATATACTTTTGCTCAAATTGTACATGTCCCCAAACTGATTTGTGTAGTTCAATTGGATTATGACTGAATGATTGTTTTCCTTGTCTTTATAGGCTCAGAATTAAAGACAATGCCACAATTTGGACAATACTTACAATTTGGCTAAGTAAATAAATAGGGAGCATCTTTCAGATACAATTTTTGTTAAGTCTTGAAACATGCCACTTACCCTTTCATCAGGGTAAAGGTAACTTTATTTTACCTTGTTTTATTTTTGAAGAGTTGAAAGATGAATTTTAATTTTTTAATTTTTTTAATTAAAAAATTTTTTAATTTTTTTCTCCCCTGGACCTCTTAATTTAA